GACAACATCTATGTGTTGAATTACCTAATAAATAGGCAGGTAAATGGGAAGAAGGGGAAGATGGTGGTGATGTTTGTGGACTTGAAGGCAGTTTTTGACTCGGTGGACAGGAGGATACTGTTGGAAGCGATGAGGAAAAGGGGAGTAAGGTAGGGCTTGGTGAGGAGATGTAAAGAGTTGTTGGGGGAGACGGTATGCAGGGTGAGGGTGGGAGAGGAGCTGGGAGAGAGGTTTTGGACAGGAAGAGGAGTCAGACAGGAGTGCCCGTTAAGTCCAATTTTGTTCACGTTGCTGCTGGCGGACATTGATGACAAACTAAGAGGGTGTTGGGGTGGAATAAGGTTGTGTGGGAGAAAGTTATATACGTTGGCGTATGCGGACGATATAGCAATGTTGGCGGAGAGTGAGGAGGATATAAAGAGAATGATGGGAAAATTAGAGGGGTATTTGGACAGAAAGGGACTGATTTTGAACAGTGAAAAAACGAAAGTAATGAGATGTAGAAAAGGGGGGGAAAGGTGGAAGAAGGTGAACTGGAGATGAAAGAGTAAGGTAATTGTGGAGGTGAGGAAATTCTGCTACTTGGGATATGTAGTAAAATACAATGGGAGGCAGGACGTAAGAGAGAGGGTAAGGAGAGGAGCGGCGTGGCTAGGATAGGTATGGGGGATTGGAAAGAGGAGGTTTGGGGAGAATTGGAGCAGGAGAATATGGCTGTTTGATGAATTGATATGGTCGGTGATAAGTTACGGAGTGGAAGTATGGATGTGGAGGGAAAGAGGGGAAATAGAAAGGTTGCAGGAAAGGTATTTAAGGTGGGTGTTGAGAGTGGAAAGATGCACACAAGGGTATATGATTAGGGAAGAGCTGCAGAGAGAGAAATTAAAAGGAAGGGGGCAGTTATGAGAGCATGGGGATAGGAGAAAAAACTGGAGGAGGGAAAAGGAAGGGAGTTGGCAAGGGAGTGCTGGGAGGAAATGGGAAGAAGGACAAAAAGAAGGGAGAGCCTAAACGGTTGGGAGGAGGAGAGAAAAGAAACGACGGAGAGCAGGGAGTGGAGGATAGAGAAGGTGGAGGAGCTAAGGGAGGAACGGATGTGGAGGGGAGAGGACGTGTATGAGAGAGAAAGGCTGAATCAAAGAGAGGAGAGGTGAAAGGAGATAAGGGGGGGGGGGCAAAATTTAAAAAGGGAATGGGCTGGGAAAGGGGGGGGGGGGGCCGGGGGATTTCAGAAAGAACTGGGGGAAAAGTAGGAGGCAGAGGGTGGATAAATACACGCTGGGGGGTGGTATGGGAGGAGGGAAATACTGGATGGCAGAAAAGGAAAGAAGGTGTAGGGTGCGGAAGTGGGGAAGAGACGTGGGAACATGTGTGGGAGGATTGCGTAGATTGGGGGGGAGGGAGATCGTGGCAGGAGGTAGTCGGGGAAATACTGGAAGATGAGAGGGAAGGGGAGGGGTGGCTGAGGAGGTTAGAAAAGGTGAGGAGAAAGGGAGGTGACGAAAATGAGAGGGAAGAGAGGGAGGAAGGGAGAGTGAATGAGAGAAAGGGTATGAGTGAGGAGATAACTATGTAAACGGAAACGGAAGTCCATAGATTAAGGATCTCGCGAGCGTGTGTGCGTGTGTGTACAGATAGGTAAGGCAATTTAGTCAGTAAGGTTAGGATTAAGGTAAAATAAGGTAGAGTAAAAGTATTGTGTAAAGGGTTGGGAACGTCCCTTTGAAACGCCTTGCAACCCCAAGGGGAGTCGATAAATATATATATATATATATATATATACATACTGAAATTTCTATAACTCAAAAACTGATTAACCAAATTTTAAAGAATTATAGGTATATGAAATAAAGGTAGAAAAAATTGAAAAATATAATAGAATTAATAAAAATTGCTAATAACAAGAGGGTCATCGATTTCTGTTTAAAAAAATCTACGTGATTGCTCTAATTTTCGTAAATTCTGAGATATCAAGCTCAATTTTTTTTTTATAGATAGAGTATCATTAAAGTTAGATTGGTGTTGAATTTAGCAAGGATCGGTGAAGGGATTACCGATTTTTGGCTATTTTTAAAAATGTCCGTGGTTACTCTAATTTCCGTAAATTTTGAGATATTAAGCTTATTTTTTTTTTATGGATAGAGTATCATTAAAGGTAGGTTGGTGTGGAATTTGGCAATAATCGGTGAAGGGGTTACCAATTTACATATATATGTATATACATTACGTATATATGTACGTATATATGTGAAAAATTGAAGAAATGGCACGCGCTTGGCTACTAATGTTCTAGTATAATAAAAAAGTGTGTAAATTGGAAACTTATATATTGCTTTTTTATCATTTTTTTTGCTTATATACTATAACTCAAGAACTAATCAACCCAATTTTTTGTAATAGTATAACAGATATTAGTCGCAATATAAAGCTTATCACAATATAAAAAAAAGTGTGCAAGTAGAAACTTGCTCACAAGATCTTCGCTCACAAAGCTTCCTCTATGAGAAAGCCGAAACAAATAAATACTAATAATTATATATCGAATAAAATAAAAGCTTCTTTATAGAGGAGCTTTGTGAGCAAAGGTTTCTACTTGCACACTTAAAAACTATAAGGAAGCAATGTGCAGGTTTCTACTTGCACACTTAAAAACTATGAGGAAGCAATGTGCAAGTTTCTACTTGCACACTTGATTTTTTTGTCTTTTTAAAATCTTTTTTTATTTTTTTTAATTTTCAAATTTGGATTTTGGATTCAAAATTAGCAACCCCAAAAATCTCCCGAGTATCAAGGTATGTTGAAATTAGTCTGATAGAAAAATGTATGCTTCAAAGGATTAACCAATTTTACTGCTCTCCTGACCCACTGTGTGTCCGGTCGTAAATTACATTATTAATTATATCAAACGCACTTTAAAGTGAATGTGGATTTTCATAAGTACACTGTAGATATCTTGACGAAAGAACATTTATTTACTACACATTTTTTTTTTAAATAATATAATGGAAGCTATAATACATATATATTAACTAGTATTTTAAGATAATACACGTTTTTATTAAACTTACTTCGAATATAAATCCAGATCCGAGTATCAGTAGCATAGCGAGGTATATCGCGTAGCGCCTATTTCGCGTATGGAAAGGCCATAAGCCACTGATACTTAATAATATTCGAATGATATTATAATGCGAATGCCGAAAGAACTGCTCGATATCACCCATTCTGTCTCTTATCTCTTGCTGCTACTATTACAAGATAGAAATTCACTTATCATAGGATATAGATCGTCGGTCTCTTAAGAATTCCATTTTATGTTTGATTGTCGTAAAATCAAAAATGCATATTTATCGCTACTGTGTTTATGCCGCAAAAACCAAAACGGCACATTGTAAAGTCGCAAGATTATCTTATGGAAATTGCGTAATTATAGAGAAGAAGGGGAACAGTCATGCTGAAAATATTGTCTTTGTCGATTTGATACGGACGAAAGAGATATGAAAATTTTATTTGCAAATACAGTCAATCTAAGACCAGACTGTTACGAAAAGCTTTGAAATCGGTTACATTGAAAAATAATAGTTTTGTAAAGTATGAACTTATCAAAGGTCTATTGTATTACACGGAGAAAAAGTTACGGTTGCTACAACAGAATAATGCTGTTAATTTTTGCCCATCCATACAAAAGGGTTATGGAAACCATAGTACTCTGGAAGTGACCTATGGTTTCCATATGGTTTCCATATGGTTGCCCTAACCTTAGTGAGGGTAGCTACTATATGGATGTTGCAACCATAATGAACAAATATTCACCCGACAAAAAAAAATTATTTATTTCGAAATGTTATTACTATTTTTTAACTAAATTTGTTTCTTAAGATGCAGGCTATGATTATAAATATTTTCTCGTATTTAAAAACACATATAAAAACACACTTACCTTGGTGGGATTCGAACTCGGGACCTCTGGATCGTGAGCCAACTACCTTACGTGGTAGACCACTTCTTAATTTAATGTTAGTGTTATATATAGTCTACATATGTCAACCAGCGCAAATATATAATTTTTCAAAAATCATCTTAAGAAACAAATTTAGTTTAAAAAGAGTAATAAAATTTTGAATTGGATATATGATATAATATTTCTTATAATGTCGGGTGAATGTTAGAAACCAGTGTCGGCTCATTACGAAATTTTGTGTTCGTAAATATATTTATGAAAAAAGTATATTTATAAAGGCCTATCTACATAAGACGCAGAACGCGAGTCGCAAGACACACGCACAGTCTACATGTCAATCTAACCTCTATACACAAAGAGGTTAGATTGACATGTAGACCGTGTGTGTGCTTGCGTCTCGCGTTCTGCGTTTTATGTAGATAGGCCTTAAAGTTAAAACATCCTTATCAAATCCACTTTATTCTATGCAGAAATTTTTTTGCGCGCGCAATGAAACTAAACTCTCAATCATGCAGTGATTCAGTGCTGTACCGTGCAGCTATATCTTATGGATCTCTCAACCATAATAGTTGTGCTGCAGACCACATAAGAGGGATAGCAATAATCCTTTGGTTGAGGCAACCATATACGAGGGTATTATAACCGAATGTTACGTATCGTAAGAACTACGGTTATGACAACTGTATAAATAGGCATATCTTAACAGCTACATTGAATGTAATATCAATTTAACTTGAATTTACATACATTTCTCTTTTAATCATAGAGAACATTGTTGTAACAACCGTAACAATTTTCTCCGTGTACATATTGCCATTATTAAATATTTTTTACTTTTTTAAATTAAAGATAGATGTAAAAGATGTTTTATCAATACGATAAAAGTGCAAGCATGAATATTAATATTCTTGTATTTAATTGTTTTCTCGTAAATATAGACAATGCTCTGCATTATTTAAACAATAATATATCATGTATATTATTGTTATATTGATAATAATTTTTCTTTTTTTAGAAAAGAAATTTCGAAAATTTCGTATTACCGTACAGATTGTAAGACTGTGAAATACGAAGCAGATACACGTACGACCTAGAAAAGAAAAGTAAAATTACCGAAATTGTTAATAAGAAAATGATTGTATATCTAAAGAAAATTATGACAGATCTTACTGCGCTGAAACTGGGAAGAGAAAGAATCATGATTTTTCCAACAGTCAATGTACAAGGTAAAGTACTTCTCAGCATTATCATGTTCAAGAGCTTTCTGGATTTGGGTGACGATTCATACCATTCGCCTCGGTAACTTGTATCGAAAACTTTATTATTATTTGTATCTCAAATAAAAATTTGTTAGAAAGAAGTAATTTTACTTTGTGTAGGACATTTGCACGACTTGTGTTAAATTTACTGGGAAGTAGTTGTATTCTTTGACTCACGTCGATGTGTACACGCGATCGCTATGATCAATTACTTGTTGCCCCAACCAGCACGCGATATATAGATGCAGTAATTGAGCGATAATGTATGCGGCATGCCGGATTGCAAGATGTGGATTAAGGGTACCACTGGTTGCCTAAATATGTTCCAAAAGTTGTGAATTTCAATACCGTGATTTGTTGTTCACAAAATCGCGCAATATGTTATATATATTGATATTAATACATACATTTAATAGATATTATTGCAATATATCTCAAGCACAAACCTGGAGAGCCGACAGACTCATAGCCAATATAATTAAGCCGATTTCCACGAAAAACGCTTTTGTGTAGACAATCTCTAAGCACCTCGCAAATCTTGTTTAAGAAAATTTCATAATTATTTCTTATTAGGTCTCCTTGCTTGAAGTATATAAATAGAAAATTTCCATAGATATCTCTTACAATTATGCAAAGATATATACACACTAACCGTAGAGCATCTTTGTGTTTTTGTATGCAATATACAAAATTTTTATAAAATTTGTTATCTCCCTTGAGCAAAGCGAGCTCTTTATCTTGCTTGATGGTTTTTCGTATATACTCTAGCCGATATCTGAAAAAAGAAAGAAAACGTTCTTTAGAGTATTTTTTTAGGTCGCCATTCAAATTATTGAATACATACCTGACGATTGAAAACAGTGCACAACAATGCTGCACCAGAATAGCTACATAGGTGTCGGACGCGACTATGGTAGTAAGACGAATTGCAGTAGTAAAGTAATTATGAATCAGCACGGGATAATAGTACTTTTCGAGATCTATGTAATATTCTACGTGATATGGAAATCCCACTGGCCGCGTCGAATAATCAGAAGTTATATTTCTGCCAATTATTTTTGGGATTATCGCGAGAAACGGAAAGAGGCTGCCAAATGCATACATGCCACCTAGATTCGAGCGGTACTTTAATAGAAGTATATTTGCGTGCAACTGCTGAACACTTTTATATAATCAAATTAAATTTGGTTATATAAAAATGAGACTTTCTAATGACTCTTTCGTCAAATAAACTATTTTTGAGTTATATGTAAATTAATTTTTAATAAGTAGGTATCTTAATTAAAGGTGGTCACATCAAACCTAAAATTAATTGTTATTAATACAAACTATTTGCTAAAAATTTTTATTTATGATTGTTCTATCAGTTTTAATGCATAATATAATTTCTATTAATTTCTATTAATTTCCTACCGGCATAGCCGATTGTAATGCTTTTTCCACTCTCCGCAAACCTATACAAAATTTCGAATTCACTTTGGATGGTCCACGATTGCCAATCCCTTTGCATGTGTATAAGAAGTATCTTGATCTACAGCTTGAAATTCATATTTTTACACAAATGTGATTTTGCACTTAATATCACGATTTCCTGCATACCTTTTTTATATTGCATACTAGGTTCGTCAGCTTAACGATGCACGCACAATCTATTATGAGTGGTGGTATACATTCGATAGTTGCATCAAAATCGCCGCGTAACGTCACTAAAGCGAGTACCTTGAATTCAATATTTGCGGGCAAGATAATGAGATCGAAAAATACGTTTCACAAAATACAAAAGTATGATCGACCTACACTGATAATTCTTTATTTTTAGCTTCAAATTTCTAATATTTATATGTTTTTTTATAATGCTTGTTTCCTAAGTTTTAATTTTCGATATTATTAAGATGGAAGAAAATCTTTTTAAAAATATAGAAATACTAGCATGATACCCGTGCTTCGCTACGGTAACACACATTTTACCCCTTTTCACCCCGTTAGGAGTCGACTTTCTAAAAATCCTTTCTTAGTGGGTGCTTACGTGGAAGGAATATACTTCCCAAATTTCATGTTTCTAGGTTTAAGGGTTTGGGCTGGGCGTTGATAAGTCATCTTAACATTGAATTATATATATATATATATATATAGATAGATAGATAGATGATTAGAGCAAAATCTTGAATTATGTTTTTAAACACTTGTTTGGGTAAATTTTGTAAGCAAAAACCAAGTCGATATCTCATCGGGCTCAAGAGATATTGAGAAAGTCGTGAAAACACATTTTACCCCTTTTCACCCCCTTAGAAGTCGAATTTCTAAAAATCTCTTCTTAGTGAGTGCTTACGCCATGGAAGGAATATACTCCTCGAATTTCATGTTTCTAGGTTTAAAGGTTTGGGCTGGGCGTTAATGAGTCAGCCGTAACATTGAATTATTATATATATAGATTGATGAATAGTAAGAATCACAATATCGAGTGATATACCTGTGCGATGGCTTGTGTTAGACCGATAAGTGACAGCGTCACAAGTATAACTCGCCTGTCTCTGTCCTTTTGGAAGGGCCATTGCCCCAGCAACGAAAGTAGCGTACGATTGAGTCTATATAATCGAGACTGAAAGATATCATTAGATGTATCCATTTTCAACACTCGGTTTCAACTACTGCACTGCATCAATATCGTCTCTCACAGTTTTCAGTCTAATAATAAATTCTCTTAGAGAGTGAGAACGTAATAGGTGCAGTAAGTCACGAGAAATTGCGAATATTTACGTGACTGATTATCCCACTAGAATGATGAAAGGCTTAGACGATCAAACACTTATCCTAGAAAGATCTATGTTCTTTTACGCTTGATTTTATCCCGGTGCATCTTATAGTCGGCGCTTATACCTTACAAACTTTGTTATTATCGGAATATTGTCAATTTTAACGGCGCATCATGATAATAGTATCGTGTCTGCCACGAGTTTCTTCGAATCACATTTTTGTTCGTGGAAGTACTGACTTCCTCTTGATGGACCTCTTTCAAACTTGAAACTAATTTCTTGGCAGCTTGTCAAATCGTATTTGGTTTACAAATATGTAGCAAATATTATTATAAACAAAATTAACGTATATAAGGTACTTGTTCATGAATCATATTCTAGGAATAAATTATATTTTTATTAATAATTAATTAATAATAATAAATTATATCTTGATTAAATATCTTGATTAATAATTGATTAATGATTGATAAAAACACATCCAGATTGAGGCTTTTTAGAAAGTAAAATTGTTAAAAAAATGTGAAAAAAATTTGTTTTGAACGAAAAACATTGGGTCGAAAAGTAATTAACAACATAGATGCATCATCATTTTTATGTATGTGCAATAACGCATACAAAATGAATGACAAGTTTCTCTCGTAAATCTAAACGCGATATTATCGTTGATTATTGTTATTGATCTGCAGTATTTTATAAAGTTAATTATGAATCAACATTGTCTGTGGCAAACTAGTCAGTGTACGTTGAAGTATATGTGATAGTGCGTAGAAGCCTCGTAGTCAGATATAATAGCCATGTCGTCAACATCGGGATAGTTTTGCACAGAATCAGGATTATTGCACAGAAGTTAGTACAGTAAAGTAAGACATGGACGTTTGCACGACCTGAACAAAAACAATTTATTTACACACAAATGACTATTACATAAATAATTGTGCGTTACCGTTATTACACGTTTATAAGTTATTGGAAGACAACAACAAGTTTAGACTTGGCGCGGTTAAGATATGGGCGAGCGCGCTAGTGTAGCTTGATCTGCACCGTGATCTACACCGATCCCCGCTCTCGCGTTCTCTCGTAACGTTGAGCACGCACGCTGTACGATACGTATCTCACATTGTAAGAAAACGCATAAGTTGTACGAATATAAGATAGTCAGGAGTACTTATTTGTTACCTACCAACCAAATAAAGGTCAAGGTATTTAGTATTGTACATAACTCTCGATTTATGGCGTGTACCATCATATTCCTCGGGCATTTCTAATAGGTTATGGGCCCAGGATACGTGGCATAAAGAGAAGAATAATGGCAGACACATGCTTTACTATTGCAAAGTTGAACAACACAAACTTTCAAGTATGGAAGTGCAAGGTAGAATTACTACTAATTAAGGAAGATCTGTGGCACACGATCAGCGAGGCAAGACCGACACAGCCGGACGAAAGGTGGCTCAAAGCATATAGGCAGGCACGTGCTACAATCGGTTTGTTAGTCGAAGATGACCAGTTACGTCATATTAGAGATACGAATAGCGCTAAGGAAGCGTGGACAGCGCTGCAAAGTTATCACCAAAAAGCTTCTTTTACAAATCAAGTATTTTTATTTAAGAAATCTATAGTATGAAACTTTCAGAGAATAGTGATATGGAGAGTCATTTAAACGCAATGCTTAACTCAGTGGACCAGCTAACAGCCTTCGGAAAAGCGTTAAAGGATAAAATGGTTATTGCTCTGTTGCTGTGTAGTCTCCCGGAATCGTACAATACATTAATAACTGCTTTGGAGACGAGGTCAGAAGACGAACTAACTATAGAACTCGTCAAAGGAAAACTTCTCGATGAAGACAGAAGACGGAAGAATGCAAGAGGTCAAGAGAACGAACGAGACGATAGAGCACTTAAGACGCAATCTAAGAAATTTACAAAAGCGACATCAAAGAAGAAGCATGTGAAAAATATTACATGTTTTTTCTGCAGTAAGACAGGCCATTTGAAGAAAGATTGCAGAAATTATATAAAATGGAAAGATGCAAAAGAAAAGAAGAAGGCGAATCAAGCGGTAAGCAAAGACGATGATGATGCACACATCTGTTTCGGTGTTTAAAGCCAGAACAACAGCAAACGAACATAGTATATTGACTCAGGGGCAACTAGTCATATGAGCAACAGTAAGGATTTCTTTAAGACACTCAATAATTGCATAAATGAGAAAATAAACTTAGCAAATGGAGATTGTGCAGAAGTACATGGAATAGGAGATGGTTATCTCACCTGCAAAGACAATAAAAATAAGCAAACTACAATTATGGTTAAAAATGTTTTATATATGTTCCTACGGTAGAAGAAAGTTTACTGTCAGTAAGAAGATTGGTAGAGAAGGGTCTTCAAGTAAAGTTTAAAGAGAAGGTATGCAATATAGAAAAAGATGGAGCTATCGTAGCTACTGCAGACTTAAATGGAAATTTGTACAGACTGAGGTTCGGTCATAAAGCTTTAATGGTCACAAACAAGCACAAAGAAAATTGCCAGCACCACACGTGGCATAGAAAACTCGGCCATAGGAATCCAGAAGCAATAAAACTAATGGAAACGAAGGATCTAGTAACAGGTATGAAGATAGTATAAACTGCGGTATAAGAGGCGTCTGCAAAACCTGCATAAAAGGAAAAATGACCAGACAACCATTTCCAAAGAAGTCATTCAGCAAATCAAAAGAAGTATTAGATTTAACACACACTGACGTTTGCGGTCTCATGCAAACAAAAATACCAGGAAATAAGCGATACGTACTAACTCTCATTGACGACTACAGCAAGTACACAGTGGTACATCTTATGGAACATAAATCGGAAGCAGCTGAAAGAATTCAAGATTATGTGAGAACCATGTAGACGAAATTCATTAAAGTACCAAAGGTTATTAGGTCTGATCAAGGCAGAGAGTATGTAAATGCAAAACTGAAGGAGTTTCTACGGAAGGAAGGAATTGAGATGCAGAACACTGTAGGATATGCTCCCGAACAAAACGGTGTGGCAGAAAGAAGAAACAGATATCTTATGGAGATGACGAGATGCATGTTAATAGATGCGAACTTACCTAACAAGTACTGGGGTGAAGCAGTATGCACTGCAAATTATCTACAAAACAGGTTGTATACAAAGGCCACAGGTACAACGCCATTTGAAAAGTAGTATAAGAAGAAACCATCGCTACAGCACATACACACCTTCGGATCCAAAGCGTATGTTCATACTCCAAAAGAATTAAGAAAAAAGCTCGATGAAAAAGCAAAGGAATATGTCTTCGTAGGCTATGCAGAAAACGCAAAAGGATTTCGCTTGTTGGATAGAAGTACAAACAAGGTAATAATAAGCAGAGATGTCAACTTTCTCGAAGAAAATAGTGAGTCGAGCGAGGTAATGTTCAAGAGGAAACAAACACATACGGAATCTGTATGGGACATAGCAGAAGAAGAAGAAGAAGAAACTAAAGCTAAAGAAGAAAGTAATAATCAAGAAGAAGAGGAATCAACCATAGAGGAGAAGAGCAACAGTCAGGAAGATACAAAATTACAACGATCACAACGGGAAAATAAAGGTGTTCCTCCTAATAGATTTTGTGAAGGAAGGAAGGAATAATTGAACCAGCTACATATGAAGAAGCAATATCTTCACCTGACAGCGATCAATGGATCAAGGGCATGAATGAAGAATATAATTCGCTCATGGATGCTAATACGTGGACATTAGTGGATAAACCCGAAGGCAAAAACGTTATAGGATGTAAATGAGTTTATAAAGCGAAGACAGATGCTCAAAGACGTGTCGTAAGGTATAAGGCAAGATTAGTCGCACAGGGCTACGCTCAAGAATATGGTCTGGACTATGAGGAGGTATTCGCACCTGTAGCA